CCCCTTACAGGTCCTCAGACTCCTTCTGCTTTGCCTATCCCCCTCCACATCTCCAAACATGACCTCCCTGGAATTGACTGCCTAAATCTCTAGTGTCTACCTCTTCTCTGCTCCTTGCCTGGCTAGAATTGCTTCTACTTATAGTCTTGATCTTTTTGGTTTCCCTTTTGCACAGCAAACCGTCCATTCTTCCCCCTCATCCCTGGCTTATCCTATTCTGTTGCAGTGTAATCCTTCTTGTAACAGGAGACCAGGACACATAGGTTATCTGTCAACCTGTGGGCAGAAAGAGCAGAGAAAGTAAGAGCATCCAGTATTAACCATTTGATAAAACAGATTTAATCTCTACCAACTGCAATGAAATTGGTCCTCTTATTGAGAATATCAGAAACTATTTTTTTCTTGAAAGATGGAATTATTTGCATGTGAAATTGATATATGTTTCAGACTTGGTAGAGGTTTACTTATGCATTAGATCTGAAAACCAAAAAGAATGTGATTACAGCTCAGAAGCTTCCCTTTTCCTAATGGTGAAGAAACTGTTTACCACTTTACGTCATCTAAAGAATGTTATACCATTGGCCCAGCAGTTTTTTTGCCACCATATTGCCAGGACATGCTTGGCAAGGCTAAGCTGAGGATTTTGGCATTTTCATTTTTCCTTTTGGCATGATTTTTCATCAGCCTGCAATTCTGGAGTGCATTTCCCTGGTATATTTGGAAAAATCAAGCTGGCAAGATGATAAGCTCTCAGAATTTCGCCAACTATCTCTTTGAAGGCACTCAGAATTATAAGAGAAGAATTATATCAGGCCTTGCTCCTCTGACCCACAGGTTCTTCTCAGGTCAACCATTCCATTTGGTCAAGTCCATCATGCCCCAAGGACTTCCAGACCTTGACTCCCCAAGCCTATGAAAGCAAAGCATGGTCACCTGTCAGAGGTTGGTGCTCTGGAGAAGGGAAGAAGAAATGTGTGGGTTGAAGATCTGTTTATAGATAAGTTTGCATTTTATGGATATGGTTTTATTTCAGTGTATGTAGGTTTTGCTTATATTTTTAAGGGAAATACAAAAATAGTAAAGTCCAGGGAAATAAACTTCCTCATATTAATGCCTTATAAATATGAGTTACAAAGTATAACTCAACCTTAGGCTGCTATTGGAACAATCCCATCTGCTCTAGACCTTTTGCTTGTGCGAGCTCTGAGGCTATGGTGTAGTATACTGCTTGTAGTGTCCACGAACACACTTGAGTTTGAATCCAGAGTCTATCACTTACTGGATAGTGACTATAAACATACTCCTCAAATGTCATGGGTTTTAGTTTCCCTTTTTGGAAAAAGGGCATTTTTATGGTATTGGCCCATTGTAAGCACTGTATATGCACTTGCTGTTATTTTTCTCATTCTCCGACAGATGTTGAGACTATGTCACATAGAACTTAGCATCCTGGGACCTAGAGATAAAGTGACAGTATAGCAGGCTTTCTAACTTCTGCTTATGAACATCTCACCATGAGGGTGAGAAAAAGAGAAGCAGCTGTCTGCGTTTGGGGATTTTTCTATGGAATATTCTTATGATCATCTCCCCTTGGGGATAAAAAGATATGTCTAGTTGAGGTTTTGCATATGTTTTGGTTTTAAAATGTACCATGTAAAAAAAATCAGAGATAACTATACACTGATCCACCCCACGGGCTAGAGAAATCTCTGTCCAATGTCTCTTGAGTGAAATAAAGAAGTCGAACTGAGCCAACAGTAATTATGCTTCTGACCTATTAGAACAGAGTCTCTACTTCTGACCCTACACCCTTGGGAGATATAGTCTGGTTCTGTGGTCTGTGCTGGGCATATTTCTTTTAGACAGGGGTGGAAGTGAAGTCAGCGTGTGTGTGTGTGTATGTGTAGGCGCACGTGCATATGCATGTTCACATGCATGGTCAGAAAAGGAAGGTGCCCTAAGAAGGCTAAAATGTAGTTGGAGATGAGCCTTCTGCAGTACATATCCTACTTGTTTGGAATTTTCTTGAGACTCAGTTTGGCCCTAATGACCTCCCTCTTAAGAATGAATCAACCAAAGAAAAATGGGGCTCAATGTAGCCATGTCATGAGCTAAGGGGGTTATTACCATCACATTCATTGCCAGCGATGAACGTGCATCTTGATGAAATGGATGCCCAGGTTGCCGAAGTAATCCGTTTTGGACTGGGAGTTGGAAAATGGAAGGATTTGCTATTAGTGCCTCATCTCTATAACCCAGTAAGTAGAATCCCCTTCAGCACCCTTTTAAATATTCAGTATAAATTGTGCTCATTTTAGTTAAGACCTGTAGGTAGACTAAGGAAAATTTGGACAGCTAGTTTAGAAATGATTCTACAGCAGTCAATATATACAATAGTCTATATTTTCTGATCTCAAAGTACATGTCACCTAACAGAATTCTTTTTGATTTGTGAATTTATTTTAAAAGTATTACAAAGGAATATGAAACTATATCAGATTTGGTAATAACACATTTAATAAATCATGTTTATGGAAAGGAATAGAATTTAATTAGATTGAATCTGTCCCAAGACAATGCAGGATAAATGGCACCAGCAGTGCCTAACCAGAGCAGAGCCGAGAGTACAGGCTGTAACGTGGGGGTGAAATGGAAGGAGATTTCTTCTGATTTTTATTCAGATGCTCAGGGGTGATCTTTTCCTCCTGAGTTTTCTAGGTATTTGATGCCGTGCTTCCCTTCTCCTATCTGGTAGACAACAGCTAATAAATCTGAATGTGTCAGAAGTTTGATGCTATGCTCCTGATAATACATTGTGAGCTTCTGGAGTGAAAGTCCATTAGGTATATGCTTCGTATCAGTTCTTGGGGGCTTGACAAGCAGTAGTGCAACTATCAAACCAATAAAATCTGTCTCCGTTTCTTTTGAGGTTCATCCGCAGCTCTCCAAGCTCATACATACTCTTTTCATTGCGCAGTCTAGAAAGGGAAGAATACCCAATAACGGCCACGTTAACTAACCCAGTCTGTGACTCAGTAACAAAACTACTAGCCAAGATTCCATGGGAAAATTGTTTGGGTGTTTCTCCAAAGACTCTGTAGCTATTTTGTATAAAGTGGCCCTTCTGGAAATGTAGGTGAAACTGCCTATTTTTCAGAACTAAAATGGTGAACCAAAGAGCTCACTTGCTAGCTTTTGAATAGATGAGGGGGGTGGCTCAGACTGAAGGCCAACAAATACTCTCTGTCTACCTTGCAATTTTGTCTTAAAAGTGAATTTTCTAGGAAAAGCTACCTAAAGAAAATATATGGCATTTCATAGTGTCTCTGCTAATGCGTGATCTACCTATCTTACTGCTGGCAGGTCCGATAGCATCTTTAACTACCTGCTGAATCTGGTCTTTAGAAATTCAGTTGTTCTTTCTTCATATACCTGCTCATTGGCAGAGCTCCTGAGCCCCTAACTGTGTTACAGTGTCTGCCCTCAACTCTAGAATTTGCAGTCGTTCAAAGGAAGGTGACCTTGTTCCGATGTAAACAGATCCGTTGGGATGGGTTGGAGTAGTGAAACTCCTATTCTCAAGAAAGAAACACCTTTCTCCATTTTATACATTAAAGATTAACTTAGGGTTAGTCTCCTTTCCCTTTATGCAAGCGTCTCTTAGCACTGATTCTCAAACTGTCGTGTGTGTAAGAATCCATGGAGAGCTGGGGAAAATGTTCCTAGACTCCACTCCCTGAGAACCTGGTTTAGGAAGGATTCAGGAAGACCCCAGCCTTCTGCATATTGATGAGAACTCCAAATGATTCTGATCCATGTGGTCCCCATAGAACAGACTTAAAGAAACTGTAGCTAGAATCCCTCAGTTCAAACCCCGTCTCTCCCACTTTTTATCTTTGTAAACTTGGTCAAGTTACTTAACCTCCTTATGCCTCAGTTTCCTCATTCTGCATAATAGGGATAATAATAATACCTCACGGGGTTGTTGTGAGGACTAAATTTGTTAATCCAGATAAAGTGCTTATAATGCTACCTGGATTATTAATTGTTCAGTAAATGTCAACAACTAGACCAGTTCAACAGGTTATAGATGCCTTGAAATAGATTGTTTTAATCAGACTGATATCCTGTTAATATATTATGGAGATCAATTGAGGAATATATTGAGTTATGTAGGTGTTGTAGGGGGACAGGGAGTCATTTAATGGAGTTAGTTCTTCAGTGGCTTGTCATTGCTCATAGGATAACAGCCATACTCCTTAATGTGGTCTCTAGAACCCTTGAAGGTCACCCTCTGCTTGCGCTCCAAGCTCGTCTCACACCATCCTTTTAATCATTCTCACTGTGATCAGCAACATTTGGCTTCTTTTGAGTTTTCAAAGATGCCACATTCCTTCCTAGGCAGTGTGCATCTAGGCAGATCTTTGCATGTACTATTCCTTATGTCTGCGATGCTGTTCCCCTCACTTTCAATACCTTAACTTTTACTCTTCCTTTAGATCTTAGCTCAACTATCACTTCCTCTGAGATACTTTTCCTTACCTGACTAGGTCAAGTATTTTTCTTATTTGTGCTCATAGCTCTCCTTCATACCCCAATCACAGTTATACTTTAATATTTTTTGCCTCTTCCACTAGAGTCATTGTGCTGTAAGGCAAAAGCCATTTTTGTCACTTTGTTTTGTCACTAGCACTGTGTTTGACAGACAAACACTCACTAAATATTTGTTGAACAAATAATTAAATTTTGATTGAGGGAAGACCTGGTTGGAAGGACATGCTTCTGCATAAAAACATTGAGGGTTGGGGGCTGGCCCTGTGGCCAAATGGTTAAGTTTGCGCGCTCCGCTGCAGGCGGCCCAGTGTTTTGTTGGTTCGAATCCTAGGCTCGGACATGGCTCTGCTCATCAACCATGCTGAGGCAGTGTCCCACATGCCACAACTAGAAGGACCCACAACGAAGAATATACAACTATGTACTGGGGGGCTTTGGGGAGAAAAAGGAAAAAAAATAAAATCTTTAAAAAAAAAATTGAGGGTTCGGACAGTCTCAGGTGGGTGAGAGAGCAAAAGGTAGGTGTCTCTAGGCAGAGGAGAGTAGGCAGGAGAGGTTAGAGATGTTCTAGAAAGGTGGCAGAGAAAACCTGAGCTAGCCACGGCCCTGGAGGGCAGAGCTGAGAAAGATTACCAGTGTTGGATCTGGGTATATGAGAGGCAGAACCTGGGTGAGAATTTTTTCACAGGCTCACAGTGGCACAAAGAGACAAAATGGAAAACCGGGATTCAGTTTCTCAAAAGAGCAAATCCAACATCAAGACCATGGGTCAGAACTGAGCACTTGGAGGTGGATAGAAATGGGGTTTGGACTGAGAGTCAGGGAAAAAGGAGGCCCAGGGCTACTGTTTCTTATGAGACAGTGAGTGTGTGGTAAATGGATAGCTCACCTGGGCTTCAAGAGCCAGAACATGCAAAGAGCAGACCTCAGCCCCCTCCAAAACCTGGTCTGCGTCATTCATGGTCTCAGGGCACCAGGCTTGCAGAGACCTTCAGGAAACTGAGAAGGTTCTCCTTGAAATTCACAGTGATGGCACAGACAATAATTCTTTTCTCTCTAACTGAAGCCAGAATCATAGCCTTCTTTGACACTTAACTTTTTCAGTCAGAAAAGTAGAATTGAGGGCTTCCTGCAGACCCACATGTGAGATCTTCACCATCAGATCCCCCTCCTGGGTCTGACCAGGCTTGCACCCGTTTGCTGCTCAGTAGCGGCCCCTGCTGTTAAAGAGAAAAATAGGAACACATCCAGAGTCATATTAACTCTGGTCATGCAACCAGGAGACTTTGGAGCAGGCAGGGGAGGAGTCAGAGAGGATGTAAATAGGCTGAGGAAATCCCCAGGGAGATCTCCAGTGTTCAGGGCACCTGGGTGAGGTGCTAATGCCGAGACAAAGCTGAGCCCAAAGACTTTGTGCTTAAAAATCTTCCATAAGCTTCCCAATTTAATCGCTTCATTCCAAAAGTTTGCTAGGAACCACCACAGTGCCCTCGGAGAAATGCCATTGCAAACTTTTATTTGGGGGCTTTCAGAGCTGTTAGATGACAAATATTTTAAAAGATACCGCACTAATTCTTTAAGTTAATATTACAGTAAATTTTAATTAGGAGTGGAGGCACAGGAGGGGCTGTTTGTGTTTGTTTACCTCCTGAGTAGGAATCTGAGTGTGGATCCTCCTGTGGGAACCCTGCTGGGATGCACTCTTGCATGCACGCATTTCTGGGTATGTGAGTACCCGTGGGATGCACGTGCTGTGCGTACAAAGTGAGGCGGTCACTTGACATTTCTGGACAAAAACTGTATGTGAGGAGGAGAAAGAAAGCAAACTCATAATCAAATAAAAGTAGGGAGAGGGGGAGAGAAGAGATTGCAGTTGATTATGGGTCTGGCAGCAGATGTTCTACACGAATCCAACTCGCTGCAGCCAGTCTGTTGCCATGGCAACAGAATCAGTAATTATTGAGCCCAGGAACTCCCCCCTCCTTTCTCCCAACAAGGTGGAGGCTGATGAATATGAACTATCTTCAGCCCATCACCAGCTCTTTCTTTTCCTTCTTCTTCCTTTTTTTTTTTTAGCTGTTTATAAGAAAAGTCGGGGTATTGAAGGGTACCCAGAAGATGAGCTATATGTTTATTAATGAAAGAGATAGGGCACTAAAATTGAAATGAAGTTATTGTTTTTCTTTTGTGATAGTGTAAGAGAAAAGCTCTTCCTAGAAAAGCCGATGATCTCGGAAGATGCTAAATAAATGAGCAGGAGTTTCCCTGAAATGGAGGCTCCCTTTGATTGGCTGATCTTTCCGAGATTCCTGCCAATCGGAGCACCCCTGGGCTCCAGCTCCATAAACATAAGCAAAGCTACATGCTTATTCTTCTGGACTTGAAGTGTATACCATTCAAAGGTGTGCGGCGGGTCTCCATTCACATGGCTCAACTGGAAACCTATTTCATGAGCCAGCTTTTTCAGGAACCATCTGGTATTCCAGCACATTGTTCTTCTGGAGGACGACTCTAAGACATTTGGTGGTAATAGCAGCTTAGAAGCAGTATTTGTAGTTGGGAAAGATGGACTTACAGGAGCTTGGTGAGTAAACCTCAGTCTTACACATCTGTCCGCTGCTATTAGCAGCCTGGGCTAAGATGTAGCTTTGTCCTATTCTCTGCCGAGAAAACTACGAATTGTAGCAAGCACATGGAAGAACAGGCATTTTAGGGTTTCTGTGATGTGTAAGCTTCTGTATTCCAAAGGCTGCATGCATTGCTTGGGTATGATCGGATTTGTAGTTGACTGTGTATTATACTGGGACATTGGTTTGTCTAGTTAGGATTAGTGTGAGGAGCAGAGTTTTGCTTTATCTCCCTGGATATTGATTCATTTCAAAAGAAGATGCTTTTAAAACTAAATTAATAAGAGTCAACCCTGTGCATTGCTGGGAAGAGAGAGAAAGGTGCAGACACGGAGCCAAGCCATGAGCTGCCTGATTGTGTTGTTGGTATTTGCATTGTGTAGAGAGATGTTATTACAATGATCTGTCAAATACTTCAGATGCCCAGCCACAGAAAGAAGCATCTCTTCTGCGTGCGCTGCTGTTCTCGGCTTGGGAAGTGTGCGACTGAGCCAGGTCGTGTCCCTTCCTTCTTTCATGAAACCAGTCTCTAAATTGAAATATGTTCTCTCTCTTTTTAAAAATGAATTGCAAAGATGAGTTGAAGTGCAATCAGAGATATTTTAGCTGTCACAAACCATGCTTTGAAATGACTCTCTCTTGCATTTGCATCCTTTTAAACCTCTGAAAACCAGAGAGGGTTTGCAAAGTTATATTCAGGGATTGGCTCCTTGCCAGAGGAGGGATGCCCTGAGCTATTGCTTTGCTCCCTGGGGTTTAATTTTCTGACACTGCTGATGAAATTCTCAATTTCATTGGATAGAAGCCGAAAAATAAGAAAGCAATACTGCAAACAGGCAATGGAGGGATGGCGTAGGGAAGGAGAAACTCTTTGCCATTAGGGACCCTTCTAGCTGCAAACTCAAAAATATACGTGGCGAGACAGAACTCAAGCACAGTGTAGGATTCCAGAGGAACTGTAATCCTCCGAACATGAAGAGGAGAGGCGTTGCCGTGGGCTTGGGTACAGAGACAGGAGACTGAACTTGGGGCTTCCATCTCCGCCTAAGAACCTCTCCCCAGCATCTCTGTCTGCTGATTTTGAGGCTTCATCACTGTTACTTTTATAAAAATGTGATTTTTTCCATCCTAAGTGCCAGGGAGACTGAGAGCATGTTTGGTGTCTTCTATTTACAGTCCACTTGGATTCAAATAACAGAGAGAGGAAAAGAGAAAAAAGCATGATCATCTGGTTCATAAATAAATGCATGTGAAATAGTTGTACATGGGAAATCTCATTGGCTTGTCCTTTAAAACAATGTCCTTTTGACAGAAGAGTGCTGTGGGTCTTCACGTGGCTCTAGAATGAAATTTGCTGTGTCCTAAATGGGATCTGTGATGAATGGGTAAAGAAACAAAAGAGCTAGGAAGGTTTTGCCTGTGGAAGACTTGAAGTCAGGGTTAGGGTGATCAGGTGTTGGGGAGAGACCTTCTACTCTTGTGACCAGTAAAGAAGTGGGGCTGACACTGCAGGAGGAGGTGGAGAGTTTCTCAAGTGTGGGTGACAGAATATAATACAGGGGAAACCTGATCACTTGACTGGGTCAGTGACCTGTTTGTTAGCTGAAGGCCTCTCTGGGAATGTAGGCTGTCCTCTGATCCCAAGAGGCTCGAGATGGTGTGCTAAATTGAGAATGCCACCTGATCAGAGGCAAGTGTATACGTGTAGACTCTCCCTGCTGCTTCTCCCTCCTCGATACCCTTTGATACATGCACAATTTTGAGGAAGTCTGGTTTCTAGTGGATGTGCATGAAGTGACAGTCATCTTATTAAAATGACTCTCCATCCTCTTTTGGTCTCTTCTCTCCCCAAGTAGTGTTACTTTACATGAGTGAAGTGCTGGCACCTGTTGGCAAGAATGAGAGAAGAAACAGCCTTTTATGGAAGCAGTAAAAATGTAAAAAAAAAAAAAAAAAATTGAGTAGTTATTAACTTATTTTTGGATCATGGATGTCTAGAATTTAAAAGCTATGAAACTCTCCCCTGGCCCTAAGAAAATACATTTATGCATAATAATATAACACTTTGATGGCAGCCCATTTCAGGATCAAGCAGAATCTCTGTCCTGGGTGAGTAGGCAAGAATTTATTATAGCCTCAAGTTCATTATCTCCTTTTTGCCAATGAGTCCACTGCCCTAGCCCCATCCCAGACACCTGCTGCCTAAGCTGCAGCTTCAGTACCCAAATGAGGTCCTGGGCATTTTCACCCAAGGCTCCGATTAAGAAGTCTTGGAAATGACTCTAGAACATGGTGGTTTTCTCACTCCTGAGCTTGGAAGGTTGGTGAAACTAGAGTTATGGGACTTGAAATGAAATAACAGAGAGAGGAAAAGAGAAAGAAGCATGATCATCTGGTTCATAAATAAATGCACGTGAAATAGTTGTACATGGGAAATCTCATTGGCTTGTCCTTTAAAACAATGTCCTTTTGACAGAAGAGTGCTGTGGGTCTTCACGTGGCTCTAGAATGGTACTCTTTCAGGTACCAGAATTAACTGCACCCTTGTATCTGTTCTGTTCACTCCTGAGAGAGAAAGCTTCTTCCCACTGCCTCTTCCTGGCATTTGTAGCATGTGGGACACATTAGAAACATAAATGTGAAGATAATGAAAAATGCTTCCCTTAGACTCTCAGGTGACCATAGAGTTGCTCAATATAAGTCAAAGTGAATATCAATGTGTTGAATCTTGGGGCCGGCCCGGTGGTGCAGCAGTTAAGTTCACATGTTCTGCTTCGGTGGCCGGGGTTTCACTGGTTCGGATCCTGGGTGCAGACCTACACTTGTCAAACCATGCTGTGGCAGGCGTCCCACATGTAAAGTAGAGGAAGATGGGCATGGATGTTAGTTCAGGGCCAGTCTTCCTCAGCAAAAAAGAGGAGGATTGGTGGCAGATGTTAGCTCAGGGCTGATCTTCCTCAAAAAAAAAAAAAAAAAATGTTGAATCGAATCCCTGAAATTCAGCATGGAGAGTTAGAATGATAGAATTCCTCAGTTCTCCCAGCAATTGGAATCAAATCAGTCACCACAGGAATAGCTAACCTGCCTTGAGCATTGCTGTGTGCCAGGCACTGTTTAGTACATTTTCTGTAGATGTAATGACTCACTGAATCTTGACAACAGCCTCAACAGGACTATTTGTATACTATTTTCTAGATAAGAAAATTGACTCATCAAAATAATGAAGAACTTACCCATGTTTATCCGGCAGGAGCTGGCAAGTGCTTGGTGTTTCCACACCTGTTGATTGACTTGTTTGCTGCATTCATGGATGGGAGGGAAGAGTATGAGTGGGGAAGGGGAAGAAGGAGAAGGAGACAGCTATCAGTCTGTCTAGTGGAGTCAGGCCACAGGGAATTGAATTAAACAGTCATCGCAATAATTAAAGTTAAATCAGAAAGGCCTTTTGGGGTGGTTGGGTGAATTATTAATAATGCCACTTAGGAAAAGAAGTTTGAGCTAAGTAAAAACTCATCACCAAAATGCCCCATTTGTTCGCCCCCTCATGTTACTGTGTGATGCACCACCTCATTCTGCATAGCGTTTATTTGACTGGTATGAACTGTGGCAATTTCTGTATGAGAGGAGCTCCTCCTGGCCCATCTGTGAGAGATAGAAGGTCACCAGTTCCATGGCTGCCCTTTGTTTGCATTTGCCAGGAATGATTTGCAGTTGCCATAGCAATGGTTGAGGGTCACGAAGGGCCAGGAACAACAGGGCAGCCGGTTTGGGGGTGTGCGTGATCCACAGTGGCTGTGAGAATCACCAGGACTACCACGCTTTCTGAAGACCTTGTAAACAGGAGTGACAGGTCCATCTCAGAAAGAGATTCCAGGTAGTGACAGTGGACATATATTGATGGAGCAACTGAAGACTTGGAAGATTCAGCCTAGAAATCAAGTGACATGGTTTTTTAAACCGTGCTCCTCAGAGTTGGGGGCATTGACGGGACTATGCTAATGTGGAGCAGGGGGCATGTGAATCCTCCACTCCCACTTCAACCAGAGCATCTCCATTCCTACCTGTTTGATAAACTGGCCTTCCCACTGAAGACTTATTAATGAAAAACGTAAAGGGGTGGGGGTTAGTCTGCTCCAAGGGAAAAGAAAAACTAGTGATCGCCTCAGAATTTCCCATGTGACGTATAAAGAAATGGAAGACCAGAGCACGTAAGCAAGATCACATTGCTAGACGGAAAAGGAATCTACAGGGGTCTTAGTAGCAGGTTTTAAAAACATGCATTATTTTCTATACATGCCTAATATTATGTGCTTCCTACTATTACACTCGGTATGTGTATGTGTAGAAGATAATTTTAATAACTATTCAAAAAATAATGTCCTCCAAGGATAATATGGCAGATCTCTTTCTAAACCAGCACAGTCTAGTGGAAATATAATGCAAATTATGTGTGTAATTTCAATTATTTTGATAGTCACATTAAAAAAGTTTTTTTTAAAGTCTGTTAGTTTTAATAATATATATTATTTAATCTAGTATGTCCAAAAAATTATCATTTCAATATGTGACTACTGCAAAATTATTAACAAAATATTCATATTCAATTTTTTATGTTAAGTTTGAAATCTGATGTATTCTATGTTTACAGCACAACTCAATTTGGATACTTAATTTTCACAGGAAATCTGTATTTAGATTTCATAAAATTTGTAGTTAAAAAAGTAGATTCATCTATGCAAGTTGTTCCAAACATACTTAAAAGTTTCACAATAACTGAAGTGAGTATCAATTTTTCAATTTAAATTAGCTAAAATTAAATGAAATTTAAAACTCAATTACACAGTCAGGCTAGCCATGTGTTTCAAGGTTTCCATAGTCACACGTGGTTAGTGGCTGTTCTACTGGACAGTGTAGTTCTGGACTCTGAGAGAACTCTCCTCATACCCCAGGTCAGTTA